AGCGATGTGACATCTCTGTTAAAAGTTATGGCGTTGCCATATGGGTCCGTCGAATATGGGCAACCCTGTATTTGAAATATTTACTTTTATGTTCTCCAATTTGTATACCCTCCACCATACTATGGAGGGTATATTGACTTTGTCATTCCGTTTGTAACTCCTCGAAATATTCAGAAAAGACCCTACAAAGTATATATATTCTGGATTAGCGTAAAATTCTAAGACGATCAGCGATGTCCGTCTGTGTGTTGTAATCACGCTATCTTTCGAACGAATTGAGATAGAAGCCTAAAATTTTGCACACATGTTTATTTTGCCAGTAGGCAGGTTAAGTTCGTAAATGGGCCTCCCGATATTCGGTATTTTGATGATTTTGGCGACATTATTTACCAGATGTGTTTCAAATTTGGTATTTGAAGTTCAAAATAGATACTACCGCCTAAGACAGAAAATTGTTTGTACAGGTCCACGACTTCGTATAGCCCCCATTTCACGGTACCTCCCTATATTCGGTATTTTGACGATTTTAGGTATAATACTCACCGAGAAATTGTTTGAGATGTCGTATTTGAAGTTCGAAATGGATGCTACAGCCTGTGATAGAAAATTTTCTATGCTGGTCCAGCTCTTCGTATAGCTCCGATATAAAGGTACCTCGCTATATACGGTATTTTGATGTTTTTAGCTACATTACTCACCGTTTATTTCAGGTTTCGAATTTGAATATGGCAATGGCTTATGACAAACAAAGCCACTTCGTATAGACCCCAATACAAGGGCTATATTCGGTATTTTTAAAATTTTAACAGCATTTTGTAAGGATTTTATTTTTTGAAAATTTCCTACACCATGTGATACCCCACACCATATTTGGTTGAACTTCACAAAACAAATAAAAGTTTTTATGGAGAATTTTTAAGAATTAAATCATACTTGAAATCGGATAAAGATATACAGGATGAGATAAAACAACTTAAAAAGCAGTAAGTTCGGCCGGGCCGAACTTTGAATACTCTCCACCATTTGGAAGGAATTTGGAAATTTTCAAAAAATAAAATTCTTAAAACATTCTGTTAAAATTTTAAAAATACCAAATATAGCCGTTATATTGGGACCTACGACGTGGACCTACATAGGCATTGTTTTTCAGAAGCCATTACCATACTTAAGTTCGAAACTTGAAATAAAAGTTGAATAATCAAAAATCATCAAAATACCGTATATAGGGAGGTACCGTTACATCGGAGCTGTGCGAAGACCGGGACCAGCTTAGAAAATTTTTTGTCATAGGCTGTAGCATCTATTACGAAGTACAAATACGACATCTCAAACCATTTCGGTGGGTATTGTACTTAAATTCGTTAAAATACCAAATATAGGGAGGTACCGTTATATGGGGGCTATACGAAGACGTGGACTTGCACAGACAATTTTCTGTCTTAGGCTGTAGTATCCACTACGAATCTCAAACACTAAATTTGAAACAATTCCGGTGAATAATGTTGCTAAAATCATCAAAATACCGAATATCGGGAGGTATCGTTTTATGGGGGCTATACGAAAACGTGGACCTGCACAGACCATTTTCTGTAATAGCCCGCAGTATCCATTACGAACTTCAAATACGAAATTGGAAACAATTGCGGTGAACAATGACGATAAAATCATTAAAATACCGAATATTGTGCAAAATGTCATCCCATTTGGGTTAATGTTACACGTTTGGTGCACAATAAAAGGCTAATCGGACGAAGGTATATATGGGAGCCTAATTTGGTCGTATGTGCAAAAATCCATACCATTTGGCCTGATATCACACCTTTCGTGCACAATAAAAGGCTACATTTTTACCGATTATCTCCAATTTCAATAGGGTTTGTCATTGGGTCAAACAAATGATTTGTGCAAAATTTCACCTGGATCGGACAATAAATGCTACCTGTACTTTGTTTACAAAAATACATGGACAGACAGAAGGACGGACATGCATAAATCGGCTCAGAATGTTATTCTATGCAGATTATTAAAGGGAACGATGGGTCTATCTCGTTTCGTTTTGCCTGTTACATACAAATGCACAAATACCACCTGACCCCCTTGTGGTGTAGGGTATAAAAAAGGCGTATGCAGGTCTACGTTCTTGGACAGGCCCCATATAAAGATACCTCCCGAAGTTCGAGATCGAAATCGGTACCGAAGCCTATGATAAAAAATTATTTATGGGGGAACACTTATTCGTATAGCCCACATATAAAGGTGTTTCATATGAGAGGTAATTTTCCACGGATTTTTTTATTTTTCATGTTCCTTCAAAGTGGTGGAGGGTACTTAAAGTTCGGCCAGGTCGAACTTATCTTCATATATTGGTCTTAAACCCCTATAATCTCTTTATCAGCATAAATGTATGAGTCGATTTGGTTATGTCTACTATTTGACCTCTTAAAGTACCTTCAGATTTGAAGTACTTGAGGTGTTGCACGCATTTTCCAACCTTCCTGTGAAAAAAGTTCAGTGTATGTGTGCAATATTCTAACGTCGGTACTTTTGATGACCCCTTTTGATATTTTGGGTACGATTTAAAAAAAAAAAACAATTAGAGGTATTGGGAATTTGAAGAAAACTAATTTGGTCACAATTCAAGCTTCCACATGGTGGAGGGTAAAAAAAACAAATTTAAAAGTATCAGTCTGTTTTGCAGACAGATGTATACGTTCAGCCAATGTTCGATTATTTAAATATATTTTGAATTCTGTTATAATTATTCAAATTGTTGACCCTCTATGGAGTAGATTCCGAATTAATGAGCCAATATTGTCAATTTTATATTAGATCTAAATAAATATGATATCTTTATCTATAGTTGATGCTATTGGAATGGTGAATGTATTAAGTAATTCAATAAATTTATAATTGTCCATATTTAAGTGCTCCTCAGTGTTTAATCAATTTAAATTAAATAAACAATGACAAGCAAGTTTTTTTCAAGTACTTTTGTTCTACAATAACAAATGCATATAAAACACGTCCAGCAATATAAAGCTTATCAGTTAAAATCAACGAGGGGTGTGCGACCTATATCATTCAAAAATAGTTTAAAGACTTTAACTGTGATTTGGCACTCCCGTCAATATTTTCAATCGATTCGTTTTGTCCGATCAAAGAAATCAAGATTTTCCAGGTCAGCTGAACTCTGAGAATTCGAGATTCCTTTGGTACGAAACAGAACCTCCAAATATGGAATGTAGGCAACTTTTGTCATAAGCCATTTTAATATTCAAATGCGAAACTTGAAAAAAATCGGTGATTAGTGTAGCTAAAATTGGGGCTATACCAAAACGTGGACCTGCACAGACAATTTTCTGTCATAGGCTGTAGTATCCATAACGAACTACAAATGCGGAATTTGAAACCATTCCGGTAAATAATGTCGCTAAAAACATCAAAATACCGAATATAGGCGGGTACCGATATATGGGGGCTATACGAAGACGTGGACCTGCACAGACAATTTTCTGTCACAGGCTGTAGTATTCATTACGAACTTCAAATGCCAAATTTGAAATAGTTCCGTTAAATAATGTCGCTAAAATCATCAAAATACCCAATATCGGGAGGAACCATTATATGGGGGCTATACGAAGATGTGGACCTACTTGGCTCATTTTCTGTCTTATGCTGTAGTACCTATTACGCACCTAAAATACCAAATTTTAAACAATTCCGGTAAATAATGCCGCTAAAATCACCAAAATACCGAATATCGGTTATCTTAGGCTGTAGTATTCATTACGAATTTCTAATATCAATTTTGAAACAATTCCGGTAAACAATGTCGCTAAAATCATTCAAAATACCGCATATGGGGAGGTACCGTTATATGAGGGCTAGAGGGAGACGTGGACCTACATGGCCCATTTTCAATACCAAAAGTCCTGTAGACATAATACACATTTGAGTAAATTTTTATCAACTTACTTCATTGCGTTCGGAAGCTAGAGTGATTTCCACAGACAGATAGACGTACAGACGGACATTGCTAAACGACATAGAATTTTATGCTGAATAAGAACATATATACTTTGTGGGGTCTAAAAGGTATATTTCCAGGTGTTACAAATTAAAGTTGTCATCCCCTTAATATACCCTCCATAATATGTTTGAGGGTATACAAAAGGTATAAAATATAAAAATATCTCCGTCAAATTTAGTGAAAATCGATTCAGAATTGGATATGCCTCCCATATATTAGTTCCCTCTGAAACCAAACTATAGCTGCTACTGATCTACTTTAAATAATTTCTTTTGTTACGGGAGCTCTACTAAATATGCATAGTGGTGTGGGGTATCATATAGTCGGCCCCGCCCGACCTTTGATTTCCCTTACTGGTTAACCTACTTTCTTTTTTTTGGGAATAAAAGCTTCTAAAAAAAAAACACCTTTATTTACCCTCGGTAGGCATGTGTCCGTGGGTATAAATAGAAGGGCCGCTAGACAAATCTCTACTCGAATTCAACCGATTATTTCGGAGCTCTGAATAAAATCTCTATATTTATATTTTGTGTTCCCCTGTGTTATCACAGCAGATATTCACCTTTTCTGTTCGGTTACAATCCCCTGTGTTCCCCTGTGTTATCACAGCAGATATTCACCTTTTCTATTCGGTTAGAATTAAGTAGATCAATAAAATTGTTGGAGGGAGCAGATCACAAAATTAATTCAACCTATCAAGATAAGACGACTATCATCGGCTAATGCGGAGATTTATAAATTAAATTTTAAAATTATTATATATTTTCGCACTGTCATGATGGGTAAGCATAAACAAATGACTTGTGTTTTGGTTTCAACTGGACCTTGTTTACTTCGAAGTAGAACAAGAAGAACGAATACAGATTAGAAACGTGAGCGTTTTTTGAATGTCATAAAAGTTTAGCATGTATTTTGTTTATGCCCCAAGAATTCAGTTATCAATGAGACCCATAGCCAACTAGAAGACCCCAAGTGAAGTGAAAAATAGTTGTCAAAATAAAACCCAAATTAGAATTTGGAAAAATGTTATTATTTTTGTTAATTACCCTGCTGAGCGCCTTCTTCATCTTTGCCAAACGCCATTACACGCAATGGCAACGTTTGGGTTTGGTGTCCGATGAGGCGGTGATACCTTTTGGTTCCCTTGCGAAAGTTTTTCGCAAGGAACGTCCCTTTGGCTTGGTCATGTACGATTTATATGAGAAATTTCAAGAGCAAGTTGTGGGCATCTATTTGTTCTTCAAACCAGCTCTGCTGATCCGCGATGCCGAATTGGCAAGGCAAATCCTGACCAGCGATTTCAATAGCTTCCACGATCGCGGCATATACGTGGATGAGAAAAATGACCCCATGTCGGCGAATTTATTCGCCTTGGAGGGTCAGTCATGGCGTACGCTACGAATGAAATTGACCCCTTCGTTTTCGTCGGGTAAACTGAAGGGAATGTTTGAGACCGTCGATGATGTGGGCAACAAATTGCTGGAATATTTGAATAATCAACTGAAGGATGGCCAGACTCATGTTTTGGATATAAAAAGTATTTTGACAACGTAAGTATCGGTACCGGTTTTTTCGGAAAAGCAGAAAATAAAAATCGTTTGTTTTTTTTTCTTCAGGTATGCCATTGACATCATTGGTTCGGTAATATTTGGCTTGGAAATCGATAGCTTCACCAATCCGGATAATGAATTCCGCGTTTTGAGTGATCGTTCATTTGACAATGACAGCAGAAGTTTTCTGAGCAAACTTCGAAATTTGACGAATTTTGTGTGTCCACCGTAAGTATGAGGGTCAGAGTGTAATAGGCTCCTGGTAATATGCTCCTAGGTGTAAAAAAAAACCTGGAAATATCCACCAGAGACATGGGATTTTTATGGTTGCCATAAAAAGAAGGTCCTCTTTTGCCGGAAGACCTTTTGAAAATCTTCCATTGACAGAAAACTTTTTAAATATCTTCTGTCGATGGCAGACCTCCTGAAGGTCTTCCATTGACGGAAGACCTTTTTTAAACTTCTATTGACCTTTTGAAGGTCTTCCATTTTTTAAGCTTCCATTGACCTTTTGAAGGTCTCAAATTGGCAGAAGATCTTTAAGAGGTCTTCTATAGACAGAAGACCTTTTGGAGGTCTTTTATAGACAGAAAACCTTTTGGAGGACTTCTACAGACAAAAGTTCTTTTGGAGGTCTTCTATAGACAGAAGACCTTATGGAGGGCTTCAATAGACAGAAGACCTTTTAGAGGTCTTTTGTAGACAGAAAACCTTTTGGAGGTATTTTATAGACAGAAGACCTTTTGGAGGTCTTCTATAGACAGAAGACCTTTTTCGAGGTCTTCTATAGACAGAAGACCTTTTGGAGGTCTTCTATAGACAGAAGAGAAGGTCCTCTTTTGCCGGAAGACCTTTTCACAATCTTCCATTGACAGAAAACTTTTTAAATATTTTCTGTCGACGGTAGACCTTCTGAAGGTCTTCAATTGACAGAAGATCTTTTTTAAGCTTCCATCGACCTTTTGAAGGTCTTCCATTTTTTAAACTTCCATTGACCTTTTGAAGGTCTCCAATTGGCAGAAGACCTTTAGGAGGTCTTCTATACACAGAAGACCTTTGGAGACCTTCCAAAGACAAAAGACCTATTAGAGGTCTGCTATAGACAGAAGACCTTTTGGAGGCCTTCTATAGGCAGAAGATCTTTTTAAGGTCTTCTATAGACAGAAGACCTTTTGGAGGTCTGCTATAGACAGAAGACCTTTTGGAGGTATTCTATAGACAGAAGACCTTTTGGAGGTCTTCTATAGACAGAAGACCTTTTGGAGGTCTTCTATAGACAGAATTCCTTTTGGAGGTCTTCTATAGACAGAAGGCCTTTTGGAGGTCTTCTATAGACAACAGAGCTTTTGGAGGTCGTCTATGGACAGAAGACCTTTCGGAGGTCTTTTATTGGCAGAAGAAGGCTTTCCATTCACAGAAGACATTTGAAGGTCTTCTCTTGGCTGAAGACCTTTTGAAAGTCTTGTATTAACGGAGTTTTTTTGAGACTTTTCACGGTCCTCCAATGAAAGAGGACCTTTTGGTCTTCTATTGACAGCAGACCTTTCGAAAATTCTGCTATTAAATAATCAAGTTAATATTTTCATATTCCTCTCTGTCTCCTGCTCCCTTTTTCAGAATTGCCAAATTGCTAACGCGCCTTGGTACCAAGGAACCTGTCGTCTATCGCCTGCGAGATATTGTCAAACGTACCATCGAATTTCGCGAAGAAAACAATGTGGTACGCAAAGATTTGCTACATCTACTAATTCAACTACGGAATACGGGAAAAATATCCGATGACAATGATAATCTATGGAATAAGGTTGAATCGACGGCTACAAATCTCAAGGCCATGTCCATTGATATGATAGCTTCAAATTCGTTCCTCTTCTATATTGCGGGATCGGAGACAACTGCCTCAAGTACCTCATTTACCATCTATGAATTGGCCATGAATCCAGAGGCATTGAAAAAAGCTCAAAACGAGGTAGATGAATGTTTGAAGAAACATGGAATAAAGCCGGATGGACGTATAACCTATGAGGCCATACAGGACATGAAATATTTGGATTTGTGTGTTAAGGGTAAGTTATAGTAAAATTTTGATTATTTTCTTATATAACAAAAATGTATCTTCCAGAAACCACCCGCAAATATCCTGGCCTACCATTTTTAAATCGCCAATGTACCCAGGACTTTAAGGTGCCGAATTCGAAATTTACCATAAAAAAGGATACGAATGTTATCATCTCCCTTTTGGGTCTGCACAGAGATGCCAAATATTTCCCTGAGCCTTTGGCTTATAAGCCCGAACGATTTGCCGATGAAACCAAAGATTATGATGCAGCAGCATATATGCCATTTGGAGAGGGTCCCCGACATTGTATTGGTAAGGAAGTTACGTTTATTAGGTTTTGGAAAAATTCTAATACTTCATTGTATTTATGTTTGCAGCTCAGCGTATGGGCGTGATGAACACCAAAGTTGCCTTGGCCAAAATATTGGCCAACTTCAATATCGAACCAATGCCCCATAAGGAGGCTGAATTTCAATTCAATACAGCTCCGGTTTTAGTACCAGTCAATGGTCTTCGTGTTGGTCTCTCGAAGAGAAGTTTTAATTGAAGATAGTCGAAAGATAAGATGTTATGTGCTCTCATAAAAATATCTCATCAAGTAAAAAATCATATCAAAAATTGAACTGATTTTAAAGGAATCACTTCTATTCAGAATTTTTTATTATGGTATATTAAAAAAAAATAAATCCTGATTAAAAAACGTCCGAATTTAAAAATTGGATTTTTAGATATATTAAAGAAAAATTATTCAAGACCTTTTGTAGGATGTTCTATTGATAAAAGACCTTTTGTAGATCTTCTATAGGCTGGAGACCTTTTGAAAATTTCCTCTTCACAGAAGACCTTTTCAAGGTCTTCTACTGACAAAGGGTCTTTTGAAGGTATTCTATTTACAGAAGACTTTTTGAAGGTCGTTTTTGACAAACGACCTTTTGAAGATCTTCTATAGACAGATAACAAGTTGAAGATCTTCTATAGACAGAAGACCTTTCGAAGGCCTTCTATAGACAGAAGACCTCTGGAAGGTCTTCTACCTACAGAAGACCTTTTGAAGGTCTTTTATTAAGAGAAGGCGTTCTATAGGTCGAAGACCTTTAGGTGGTCTTCTATATACAAGATACCTTGTGAAGGTCTTCTATAGATAGAAGAACTTCCATTGAAATACGACATCTTGGAGGTCTTCTACTGACAGAAGACCTTTTGAAAGTCTTTTCTTGACAAACGATCTTTTAAAGATCTTCACTAGACAAACAACAAGTTTAAGGTCTTCGATAGATAGAATACCTCTCGAAGGCTTTCCATTGACAGAAGATCTCTCGAAGGTCTTCTATTAACAGAACACCTTTTGAAGGTCTTCCATAGACAAAATACCTTTTGAAGGTCTTCTATAGACAAAATACGTTTTTAAATGTCTTCTATAGACAAAATACCTTTCATTAACACAAGACGTTATGGAGGTCTTTTCTAGACAGGAGGTCTTTTGAAGATTTCGTATTGACAGAAAAATCTTTTCAATGGACAAAAAACCTTTTAGAGGTCCCCTTTTGAATCTTATAAAAATTTAACACATTTAAAAAAAAAAAAACTTCAGTCCAGAATTTTTTATTATGTTTAAAAAAAAAAAAAGAAATCCTGATTAAAAAATGTCCGAATTTCAAAGACTTTTTAAAAAATAAAACATTTTGTTCATGAAATAAATGGTAGATTAAAAAAATATACTGACTTGGAATCAACACCCGGACGAAACTGCTGAACCTAGAATCTTGAAGTTTTACAGCCTTGGTGTGTAGGCGTCTGAAGGCTGAGTTTTTGAAAATTCATACTAAATGTGACTAAAATGTGTTAAAAGTTTAATACTTTGTATGCGATAAACGGATTGAGCTAGAATTCTGAAATTTGGAAAGAAAGTCACCAAAGGGGCTTTTGAATATTCGAACTTTAAGGCTACGAAATGTTCTAAAATGGTACTAAATTTCTAAAATATTTCCATTTGGTATTATGTGAAAGGCTGGAGTTAAAAACTTTAAATTTGGTTGGAAGTAAGTCGGATATATGAAGGTGCTTTTGGAAATGTATGTCCAAAATGTACTAAAGAGTACTAAATTCGGTACTATTTGGTTTTGGTTGAACGGATAGATCTGGATATTTAAAATGTTGGTATTGGGACCTATGTTGGATGTAGGGTAGGGTTAAGATAAAGAGTTGGTTTTAGAAATGCGTTCAACAAGCGTACGAAAGGTATTAAATTTGGTACTGCGTGAACGGATACTACGTAAAATTTGAAATTTGGCATTGGGATAACTGTTAGTGTATAGGGTTGGGATTTGGAGGTGGTTTTGGATATACCTACTAAAGAGTAATAAATGGTACTAAATTAGTTATTTAGCTAAAGGATTGAGTTGTAAGTCTAAAATTTTGAACAAATATCGCCTTTCGTGCGGTTTGGTCGATACAGGGCGGGGGATTTGCAAATTCGTACTCAATAGTACGAAAAGTACTAAATATTATTTACTTTGGTATTTGAGGAAGGTATAGAGCTGGAAATTTGAAATTTGGAGTGAGTGTCGTGGATGTTATGTAGGATAGAAAAATTAAAGGGGTTTTCCCGAAGTTCTAACAACACATGAACCAAAAGTACTAAAATGCACTAAATATTGTACCATTTGGAATTATGTTAACGAATAGCGGTAAAATCTTGAAATTTAATATGAGAATCAATTCTTGGGAATTGGTGTTTATATAAGGTGGTGGTTTTGGTAATGTGTACTAAATGTACGAATTGCACGAAAAGGTACTGCATTGGTACATTTTCCTTTCGGGTAAACGGAAAGAAGCATATAATTTGAAATTCTAGCATTGGGGTCCCTTTTGGTGATAGGATTGTTTTGGAAAGACGTGTTTATAGAAACGGGTACCACAAGTGCGCAAAAGGTACTAAATAGTGCTTTATCTGGTACAATGTGGCATTGCGTGAACAGAAAGTGCTTGAAATTTGAAAGTGCCAAAATGGTACACAATTTGGGATTGAATGAAGGGATAGGGCTGGAATTCCGAAATTTGATATTGAGGTCTCTGTTGGTATCTGGTGGTGGTTTTGTAAATCCGTAGGTGGTTTCGGAAATGTATGCCATAATTGTTCGAAAAGTATAAAATGGTACTACATTTGGTATTAGGTGAAGGTATAAGACTGAAATCCTCAAATTTGATATAGAGGTCTGTGTTGATATATTGAATTGAGATTTGAGGATGTTTTGAAATTGTGTTCCACAATAGTACGAAAAATATTAAAATGTACTAAAGTTAATATTGGGTAATTGAATAGGGCTGTAATCCTCAAATTTGATATTGATGTCTCTGTTCGTATCTGAGGTTGAGATATGGAGGTGGTTTTGCAAATGTATACTATAATTGTACAAAAAGTACTGAATAGTACTAAATTTGGTATTGGGTGAAGGGATAGGACTGGAATCTTAAAATTTGTGTTTGAGGTCTCTGTTGGTAGGTGAAATCGAGAAGTACTAAATGGTACTATAATTAGTATTGCGTGAAGGGATAGAGCTAATTCTCAAATTAAATATTAAGGTCTCTGTTGGTATCTGGAATTAAGATATGAAGATGGTTTCGGAAATTTGTACTATAATTGTACGAGAAGTACTAAATGTTACTATATTTGGTATTGGGAGAATTAAAAGAGCTAAAATTCTGAAGGTATATGCGGTTCAAATTTGAAGGTGGTTTGGAAATGTGTTCCATAATTATGCGAAAAGTACTAAATGTTACTATATTTGGTATTCGGTGAAGGGATAGAGATGAAATCTCGAAATTTGTTATTGAGATTTCTGTTGGTATTTGGAATAGAAATACAGATATGGTTTTGGAAATGTGTTCCACAATTGTACGAAAAACACTAAACGGTACTAAATTTGGTATTCGGTGAAGGGATAGAGCTGGAATTTCGAAATTTGTTATTGAGATTTCTGTTTGTATCTGGAATAAAAATACACAGATGGTTTTGGAAATGTGTTCCACAATTGTACGAAAAACACTAAATGGTACTAAATTTGGTATGAGGTGAAGGGATAGAGCTGGAATTCCGAAATTTGTTATTGAGGTCTCTGTTGGTATCTGGGATTTAGATATGGAGCTGTTTTTGGAAATGTGTACTACAATTGTTCGTAAAGTACTAAATAATACTATATTTTGTATGGGGTGAAGATATAGAGATAAAATTCTGAAATTTTATAATTTACTGTTGTTATCTGGGATGGAGATATGGAGGTGGTTTTGTAAACGTGTTCTAAAATTGTTCGAAAAGTACTTAGTGGCACTAAATTTGGTGTCGGCTGAAAGGTGTGGTGTTGATATTGAGGTCTCTGTTGGTTTTGTAAATGCGCTCTATAATTGTTCGAAAAGTACTAAATGGCACTCAATTTAGATCACTCTTGATTTCTAGGATGGATAGATGTAGAAAAACTTGAAAAATGTATAAATCCTTGAAATTCTGAAGATTTAGGACGACGTATGTAGTTTTGATAAAAAAAGTGTCAAACTATACATAAACAAGTTAAAAGCAGTACGTTTGGCCTGGCCGAACTTTGAGTACCCTTCACCATTTGAACAAATTTGGAAATTTTCAAAAATTAAAAATTCCGTTTAAATCTTAAAAATACCGAATATAACCCTTCTATTGGGGTCTATACGACGTGGACTTTCATAGGCATTGTTGTCATAAGCCATTACCATATTCAAATTCGAAACTTGAAATAGACGGTGAATAATGTAGCTAAAATCATCAAAATACCGTACATAGGGAGGTACCGTTATATCGGAGCTATACGAAGACCTGGACTGTGCATAGACAATTTTCTGTTGCAGCCTGTAGCATCCACTACGAACTTCAAATACGACATCTCAAACAATTTCGGTGAGTATTGTACCTAAAATCGTGAAAATATGCAATATATGGAGGTACTGATATATGGGGCCTACACGAAGACCTGGACCTGCATAGGCAACTTTCTGTCATAGGCTATAGTATCCATTACGAACTTCAAATGCCAAATTTGAAACAATTCCCGTAAAAAATGTCGCTAAAATCATTAAAATACCGAATATATCGAGAGGTACCGTTATATGGGGGCTATACGAAGACGTGGATCTGCCCAGACAATTTTCTGTCATAGGCTGTAGTATCCATTATGAACTTCAAATAATAAATTTGAAACAATTCCGGTGAATAATGTCGCTAAAATCATCAAAATACCGAATACCGGGAGGTATCGTTATATGGGTGCTATACGAAGATGTGGACCTGCACAGACAATTTTCTGTCATAGGCTGTAGTATCCATTACGAACTTCAAATACCAAATTTGAAACAATTCCGGTAAAAATGTCGCTAAAATCGTCAAAATACCGGATATAGGAAGGTACAGTTATATGGGGGTTATACGAAGACGTGGACCTGCACAGACAATTTTCTGTCATAGGCTGTAGCATCCCTTTTCGAACTTGAAATACCAAATTTAAAACAAATCCGGTAAATAATGTCGCTAAAATCATCAAAATACCAAATATCGGGAGGTGCCGTTATATGGGGGTTATACGAAGACGTGGAATTGCACAGACAATTTTCTATCTTAGGCTGTAGCATCCCTTTGGAACTTCAAATACCAAATTTGAAACAATTTCCGTAAAAAATGTCGCTAAAATCGTCAAAATACCGAATATCGGGAGGTGTCTTTATATGGGGACTATACGAAGACGTGGACCTGCACAGACAATTTTCTGTCTTAGGCTGTAGTATCCATTACGGACTTCAAATACTAAATTTGAAACAATTCCGGTAAAAAATGTCGCTAAAATCATTAAAATACCGAATATCGGAAGGTACAGTTGTATGGGAGTTATACAAAGACGTGGATCTACACAGACAATTTTCTGTCATAGGCTGTAGCATCCGTTTCGAACTTGAAATACCAAAATTTGAAACAATTCCGGTGAATAATGTCGCTAAAATCATCAAATTACCGAATATATGGAGGTACAGTTATATGGGGGTTATTTCGAAGACGTGGTCCTGCACATACAATTTTCTGTCATAGGCTGTAGCATCCCTTTTCGAACTTGAAATACCAAATTTAAAACAAATCCGGTAAATAATGTCGCTAAAATCATCAAAATACCAAATATCGGGAGGTGCCGTTATATGGGGGTTATACGAAGACGTGGAATTGCACAGACAATTTTCTATCTTAGGCTGTAGCATCCCTTTGGAACTTCAAATACCAAATTTGAAACAATTTCCGTAAAAAATGTCGCTAAAATCGTCAAAATACCGAATATCGGAAGGTACAGTTGTATGGGAGTTATACAAAGACGTGGATCTGCACAGACAATTTTCTGTCTTAGGCTGTAGTATCCATTACGGACTTCAAATACCAAATTTGAAACAATTCCGGTAAAAAATGTCGCTAAAATCATTAAAATACCGACTATCGGGAGGTACAGTTATATGGGGGTTATTTCGAAGACGTGGTCCTGCACATACAATTTTCTGTCATAGGCTGTAGCATCCCTTTTCGAACTTGAAATACCAAATTTAAAACAAATCCGGTAAATAATGTCGCTAAAATCATCAAAATACCAAATATCGGGAGGTGCCGTTATATGGGGGTTATACGAAGACGTGGAATTGCACAGACAATTTTCTATCTTAGGCTGTAGCATCCCTTTGGAACTTCAAATACCAAATTTGAAACAATTTCCGTAAAAAATGTCGCTAAAATCGTCAAAATACCGAATATCGGAAGGTACAGTTGTATGGGAGTTATACAAAGACGTGGATCTGCACAGACAATTTTCTGTCTTAGGCTGTAGTATCCATTACGGACTTCAAATACCAAATTTGAAACAATTCCGGTAAAAAATGTCGCTAAAATCATTAAAATACCGACTATCGGGAGGTACAGTTATATGGGGGCTATACGAAGACCTGGACGTGCATAGGCAACTTTCTGTCATAGGCTGTAGTATCCATTACGAACTTCAAATAACAAATTTGAAACAATTCCGGTAAAAAATGTCGCTAAAATCGTCAAAATACCGAATATCGGGAGGTTCCGTTACATGGGGACTATACGAAGACGTGGATCTACACAGACAATTTTCTGTCATAGGCTGTAGCATCCGTTTCGAACTTGAAATACCAAAATTTGAAACAATTCCGGTGAATAATGTCGCTAAAATCATCAAATTACCGAATATATGGAGGTACAGTTACATACAATTTTCTATCTTAGGCTGTAGCGTCCATTTAATAATATACCCTCCATAGTATGGTGGAGGGTATAAAAAGACCTAACACGAGCTGTTGGAATTTGTATCTAAATGTTTACGGTGGTCTTTTCGCTGACGAAGTACCGAGAACTTGCAAATATACTTATATAATTTCAGGTACATGCATTTTGAAAATCAATCATGGGTATTTAGAAAAATACCATTTAAGGAAATTACAATAAAAATTATTAATTAATTCAACAGATTTACAAGGCGTAATTTTTCAAAATAAAACCATTTGAATTTGTAAATAAAATTAATGCCAGCTGACAAAATTGATCAATCAGTATAATCGCAGCGAGAATTTTAATTTCTGTATGCATATGTTATTGTACACATACAAATACAGAAATGTTAAAACTTACACAGTAAATAGATAAAAACAATAAAAAAAAAAATATTGAAAATAAATATTTGCCCCGTCATTTACAACGCATTAGGAAATATAATAAAAAACAACAAAACGGCGAGAGAATTTTATTGGCCGGTCGACAGGGAGAAGGTGATGATAAGAAATATGCAAAGTTTTACATGCATTCGAATCATGACCGGCAACTATTCAGTTGTTAATGTAACACGTACGCGATTAGATCGGAAACATTTTGTAACGCTTGAGAATAGCTAGGAGTAAAATTGCAAAACTAAAATGTTATTACTGCTACTGATTGTGGTGACGACCCTCTACATCTTTGCCAAACTTCATTATACGAAATGGGAACGTTTGGGTTTCGAATCGGATAAGGCCACCATACCCCTGGGCTCGATGGCAAAGGTATTCCACAAGGAACGGCCATTTGGCCTGGTTTTGTCCGACATATATGACAAATGCCACGAGAAGGTGGTGGGCATTTATTTGTTCTTCAAGCCGGCCCTACTGGTGCGCGATGCCGAATTGGCGAGACAAATTTTGACCACAGATTTTAATAGCTTCCATGATCGTGGCCTCTATGTGGATGAGAAAAATGATCCAATGTCGGCGAATTTATTCGTAATGGAGGGTCAATCATGGCGTACGCTGAGAATGAAATTGGCCCCCTCGTTTTCGTCGGGTAAACTCAAGGGGATGTTCGAAACGGTCGATGATGTGGCGGCTAAATTATTAAATCACTTGAATGAGCGTTTGAAGGATGGCCAGTCGCATGTTTTGGAAATCAAGAGCATTTTGACCACGTACGTACTCATTATTGAGAGAATTGTGAGAAGTTTTGAATTTTCCTCTTAATAAAATGTTATTCTTCTAGCTATGCTGTCGACATCATTGGTTCGGTGATATTCGGCCTGGAAATCGATAGTTTCACCCATCCGGACAATGAATTTCGTGTCTTGAGTGATCGTCTATTTAACCCAAAGAAGTCGACAATGTTGCAGAGATTTCGCAATTTATCAAACTTTATTTGTCCACCGTAAGTATAGGGTGAAGTCGGGTGACTGGGTTCTTAGAAATTTGTACTAAACGGGTACGGAAAGTACTAAAATGTACTAAAAACTGAATGCTTTGTATTAGACAAACGTCAAGAGTTAGAATTTGGAATATGAGTCACTGATGGAGTGCAGAATAGATGTACCAGAGGTTTTTTGGAAATTGGGACTTTAAAATTACGAAAAATTTTAAAATGGTACTAAATTACTAAAATGGTACCATTTCGTATTATGTGAACGGATAGAGATAAAAACTTGAAATTTGGTATGAAAATCAAGGTTGAAAAGCAAATTTGATATATCGAAGATGGTTTTGAAATGTGTACCAAGTGTGCAAACTGTACTAAATGGTACTAAATTTGAAACAGTTCGGTTGAGGGTGAACTGATGAAACTGGAATTTTGAAATTTTGTATTGGGGTCCCTGTCGGTGGTAGATTTGTGATAAAGAGGTGGTTTTGGAAATGTGTTAACAAGTGTACGAAAAGTACTAAATAGTACTAAATTTGGTACAATTTGGTATTGGGTGAACAGATAGGGCTTGAAATCTGAAATTTGTTATTGGGGTCACTGTTAATGTGTAGCCTGGACCTGGAGAATGGTACTAAATTTGTACGAAAAGTACTAAATAGATAGGAATTGAGATATGGAGGTGGTTTTGAGATTGAGATATGGTTTTGGTTATGGAAATGTGTACTCTAATTGTTCGAAAAGTACTAACTGGTACCAAATTGGGTATTGGGTAAAGGGATAGGGCTGGAATCTGGACATTTGATATTGAGGCCTCTGTCGCTATCTGGGAATCAGATATGTAGTTGGTGTTGGAAATGTGTCCTATATTTGAACGAAAAGTACTTAATGGTACTAAATTTGATTTGGGATTCGAATATGGTTTTGGAAATGTGCACACAAGTGCACGTAAAGTACTAAATGGTACTAAATTTGGTGAAGGGACAGAGCCGAAATCCCAAAATTTGATATTGAGGCCTCTTTTGGTGTCTGGGATTCGGATATGGAGGTGGTTTTGGAAATGTACACACAAGTGCACGTAAAGTACTAAATGGTACTAAATTTGGTATTGGATGAAAGGATAGGGCTGGAATTCCGAAATTTGATATTGAGGACTCTGTTGGTATCTGAAACTGGGATATGGAGGTGGCTTTGGAAATCTGTACTATATTTGTACGACAAATACTAAATAGTGCGAAATTTAGTATTGGGTGAAGGGATAAGGTTAGAGTCCCGAAATTTGATATTGAGGATTCTCCTTGTAACTGAAATTGGTATATGGAGGGGGTTTCGGATATGTGGAATATAATGGTTCGAAAAGTAATAAATGGTACTAAATTTGGTATTGGGTGAAGGCATAAGGCTGAAATCCCGAAATCTGACATTGAAATCTGTTTTGGTATCTGTTGTTAGGATATGGAGGTAGCTTTGGAAATGTGTACTATAATTGTACGAAAAGTACTAAACTGTACTATATTTGGAGCTGAAATTCCGAAATAGAGTTGAAATTCCGAATTTTGATATTTCGATTAATATTGGTGTCTGTGGTTAAGATATGGAGGTGGTTTTGAAATTGTATCTGAAATTGGGATATGTAGGGGAAATGTGCACAATAATTGTTCGGAAAGTACTAAATGATACTAAGTTAGGTATTGGTTGAAGGGATAGAGATAAAATTCGGAAAATGTATATTTCGATTGTTGATAGTATCTGAAATTGAGACATGGAGGAAGTATTGTAAATGTGTACGCAAAAATTACTAAATGGTACTAAATTCGGTATTGCGTGAAAGGACAAGGCTGGAATCGTCAAATTTTATATTAAGGTGGCTATTGGTATGTGGAATTGAGATATGGAGTTAGTTTTGGAAATGTGAGCTACAAGTGCACGAAATTTAGTGGAGTATTTAGAACAATTTTTGCAGATGATATTCAAACCGTAACATTGAGAAACTGTTTTGGACCTTTTAAGACTAGTTTTTTAAGAACTTATCTCTTTCATCTGTTTTGAGGGGTTTTTGCGGATTTTCAGATTATTTTGTTAAGCCTTTATTCTCTCTAGTTTTTAAAAATTGTCGAGGAAGTAGTCAAATTTTTAGGACGCATTTTGAAATTCTCCAGATCTACTATTTGGACCGTTTTAAATACAGCCCATGAACATATTTCTTTATCTAACATTAAGGATCCCATCAATTCTTTGTTAAATTCCGTGAATAACTCATTTATCTTCTTTCTCCTGTAACTTTTCAGACTTGCCAAACTCTTGTCGCGCCTTGGTGCCAAGGATCCGATAACATATCGCCTGCGCGACATCGTGAAACGGACGATAGAATTTCGCGAAGAAAAGGGCGTTGTACGCAAAGATCTTCTTCAGTTATTTATACAACTTAGAAATACTGGTAAAATTTCCGATGACAACGACAAGCTATGGCATGACGTTGAGTCGACGGCGGAAAATCTCAAAGCCATGTCCATCGATATGATTGCCTCCAATTCATTCTTATTCTATATTGCCGGATCGGAAACAACGGCGGCCACAACATCATTTACCATCTATGAATTGGCCATGTATCCGGAAATTTTGAAGAAGGCCCAAAGCGAGGTGGATGAGTGTCTGCAAAGGCACGGTCTCAAGCCGCAGGGACGTCTGACCTATGAGGCCATACAGGATATGAAATATTTGGATTTGTGTGTAATGGGTAAGCAGGAATTTTCTTGATTCTATTTTGATTTTCTAATTATTGTTTGTTTTTGTTTTAGAAACCACCCGCAAATATCCTGGCCTGCCGTTTTTGAATCGCAAATGCACTCAGGATTTCCAAGTACCCGACACAAAACTTACCATACCCAAGGAAACGGGAATTATCATCTCCCTCTTGGGCATCCATAGAGACCCACAGTATTTCCCCCAACCCGAGGATTATAGGCCAGAACGCTTTGCCGATGAGAGCAAGGATTATGATCCAGCGGCATATATGCCTTTTGGAGAGGGTCCAAGGCACTGTATTGGTTAGATGTTGAAATGGGAGCTTCATTAAATTTTGAATATTAATTTTGTATTTTTTTTCGCAGCTCAACGCATGGGCGTTATGAATTCCAAGGTAGCCTTGGCCAAAATATTGGCCAATTTTAATATTCAACCAATGCCCCGCCAAGAAGTTGAGTTCAAATTCCATTCAGCTCCTGTTCTGGTACCAGTAAATGGTCTCAATGTGGGCCTATCGAAGAGGTGGTGAAGCGCAAGTGGTTAAGTGAATTGAGGAGTGCTTTTTCGAGATATATGTTGGTGATTAGGGTTATAACGATTATTTAAGAACCAGTATTTAAGCTTTAATTTTTTATTCAAAAATTTTGAAATATTTGAAATTAAAATAAACATATGTAAATAAAATTATGTATATATAAAAGGGTCGTGAAATAACTTTTAAACTTAGTGACTGGTTGAGCATCAACGCCCAGACGAAACAGCTGAAGCTAGAATCTTGAAATATTGTACAAGTCTTGAGGCGTAGGCATGTGAAAAAGCTGGATTTTTGGAAATACGTTCTAAAAGGGTTCGAAAAGTACTAAAAATTGAATACTTTGTATTGGACAAACGAAATGAAGTAGAATTCTGAAATTTTGAATGAGAGTCGCTGATGTAATGCATGATAGATGTACCAAAGGGTTTTTGGAAATTCGAGTTCGAAGGTTACGAAAACATCTATAATGTTACAAAACCTATATGAAGGTGAACGGATGAAGCTGGAAATTTTGAGATTTTTTATTAGGGCTTCTGATGGTGGTTGGTTTGTGATAATGAGGCGGTTTTGGAAATATGTACTGCAATTGAACGAAAAGTACTAAATAGTACAAAATTTGGTATTGGGTAAAGAGATAGATATACAATTTTGAAATTTGCTATTTAGATTACTGATGGTATCTGTGTTTGAGATGTGGCTTTGCTTGGAAATGCGTTCTATATTTGTACGAAAAGTACTAAATGGTACTAAATTGGGTGTTAGATGAAAAAATAGAGCTGTGAACCTTAAAGTTGATTTTCAGATTACTGTTGGTGTCTGTAGTTAGGATATAGAGAGGGTTTGGTAAATGTGTACTAAAATGGTACGAAAAGTAATAAATAGTACTAAATGTTGTAATTGGAGAAGGGATAGAGCTGGAATTCAGAAATTTGATATTAAAGTCTCCGTTGGTATCTGGGATATCAGATATGGAGGAAGTTGTGGAAATGTGTACTATAATTGTACGAATTGTTCTAAATGGTACTAAATTTGCTATTGGGTAAGGGAATAGAGCTGGAATCCCGAAATTTTATATTAAACTCTCTGTTGGTAACTGGAATTGAGACATGCAGCTAGTTTTGAAAATAAGCACTACATGTGCACGAAAAGTACTAAATAGTACTATATTTGGTACAATTTGGTAATTATTTAACATTTTGGATTGACATATGAAATTTGTTATTAGGGTCGCTGTTTATGTGTAGCCTGGAAGTGGTTTCGGATTTTGTACTATAGTACCAAAGTACTAAAAAGTACAAAATGTAGCATTGAGTGAAGGGATAGAACTGAAATCCTAAAATTTGATACAGATTTCATTGTTGGTGTCTGTGATTGAGATATGGGGGTGATTTTGCAAATGTGTGCTATAATTGTACTAAATGGTACTAAATTTGGTAATTGGTGAAGGATTTGAATTTGAATTTGCGAAATTTGATATTAAGGTCTCTCTTTTGGTCTCTGATATTGAAAAATATGGAGAAAATGTGTACTATAATTGTACGAAAAGTACTAAATGGTACTAAGTTTGCTATTGGGTAAGGGTACAGAGCTGGAATTCCGGAATTTGATATAGAAGTCTCTGTTGGTAACTGGAATTGAGATATGTAGCTGGTTTTAGAAATATGCACTACAAGTGCAAGAAGAGTACTAAATAGTACTATATTTGGTACAATTTGGTATTGGTTGATCGCTGTTAAGGCTAAAATACTGAATTATGATATTTAGTTTACTGTTGGTGTCTGTGGTAAGGATATGGAGGTGGTTTTGAAAATGTGTACAATTGTTCGGAAAGTACTAAGTGGTACTAAAATTGGGTATTGGTGAATGGATGGAGCTGGAATCCTAAAATTTGATATTGAGGTCTCTGTTGGTCTCTGATATTGGAATATGAAGGGGGTTTTGGAAATGTGTACTATATTTGTACGAAAATTACTAAATGGTACTATATTTGGCATTGAGTGAAGCATAGGTTTGGAATCCTCAAATTTGATATTAAGTCTCGGTTGGTAATTGAGGTTGAGATATGGAGGTGGTTTTGGAAATGATAGTACACATTTTGCACAAATAGTACTAAATTCGGTATTAGGTGAAATCCCCAAATTTGTCACTGTTGGTGTCTAATTGCACTGAAATATTTGGTACAATTTGGTATTGGGTGAACAGATAGTGCTTGAAATCTTAAATTTGACATTAGGGTCACTCATGAGTAGCCTGAACATATGTTAGAGGGTTCTAAGATGTATACTACAAGTGTACGAAAAGTACTAAATAGAACTAATTTTGGTATTGAGTGAAGAAATCGAGGTGAAGTCCCGAAATTTGATGTGTATTTACCTGTTGGTGTCTGTGGTTAAGATTTGAAGGGGAAATACGGAAATATGTACTATAATTGTACTAAATGGTGCTGAATCGTATAATATTTAGTACAATTTGATATTGGGTGAAAAGATAGTGCGTAAAAATCTGAAATTTGGTATTAGGGTCGCTGATCATGTGTATGGAGATATTGTGTCTGGAGTATTTTGGAAAGCAATGTTAGCACTAAAAAATACCAAAGTTTCGATCACCTCAAGCAAGCGCTTCGCCGGGAATGGGCAAAAATACCGCAGAACAGCATTCGGGCAGCGTGTGACGGTTCCATTGTTCGTTTATACAGGGTTGCCCATATTCGACGGACCCATGTTTTTTTTTTGGGCCCATTCCAATCGACGAGGCTTGTCCGCAGGCAACATTCTTTGCGTCAATTGAATTTTGTACGGGAACAAATGCAAATCAATGCGAATAATCCGTTGTAAAGTGGACCGAGCCATGCCCAACTGCTGAGAACGGCGTTTTTGTGATGTTCTTGGGGACCTCTCAACACTGGCTCGTACGGCAGCGATATTCTCGGCCGATCGCCTTGGTCGACTTTTATATGGCCTCTTCGGATTAGAAAGAGCCTTACCAGTCGAAAATTTTTCGTATAAACGCTTAATGGTGTTCTTAGAAGGCGCACTTCTCACATTTTTTAATGTTTTAAAAGCACGTTGAGTTTTCACAATTGACTTCTTCTGTTGAATGTAAATTTTAACTATTTCAGAGCGCTCGCGTGGCGTGTATTGCTTCATGGTAAAAATCTGCTTGGACTGACGCTTCAAACGAGGTATGTCATTAAGCGATGTGACATCTCTGTCAAAAGTTATGGCGTTGCCAGATGGGTCCGTCGAATATGGGCAACCCTGTAGGTCATAATTCCTGCCAAAGGTAACCAATTCGAACAAATCTAAACTTATTCTAAAATTTGATGTTATTTCCGACATTTTTTGCTTTCATTCAAAGAAATTTAAAAAAAAAAATAAATAAAACATTTTGGCATTTGACTTTGTTGCAGTTATTTTTATCTCACCCTGTAAGGCCCTTTAATTGAATTAACTATTTCCTTGGGAAGCTATACATATTTGGATCTTGATTAAACATAATTATCTGACTCCACCTGATCTCATTTCCCAATTCATCGTGTCATTATTAACTAACTCAGTTCACTTACAATTTCGTAATAGACCTCACTTGGAGGATTTCTGGTGTGATCGAGGAAGCATAAATCGGTGTAAATATACATGGGATCCATTTCAGGTTATTATGTTTTTTTTCCTCTTTTTTTGGAACAGCAGAAATAACAACAATAATATTGAAAACAACAACAATTGACACAATGAAATTTAATACACTTTGAATCACTCTCTAAAAAAATTACAATTTTTTTGTCGAAACGAAGTTCGGCTGAGTACCACAGCAGCGAATGAAGTTCACAAATGCACTGGGACTGTGAAAACTGGGAAGTTATAACCGGCAATGGATTGAAGAAATTCGGTATCAATTTTCACATGAATTGAAAACAAACAAACAAAGGCCCAGCAAAAGACGAGGTGTGATAAGCGGTAGGCTGCGTTAGCTGGCTGGCTGCCTGGTGGTCGTCCGTCGTTGGTGATTCAAATTACATGGAAATTATCAACACTTTAGTATCCCATATCTCAAAGAAAACAAGGAATGGAGAACAAAAGTATCAAAATAAAATGGCAAACAATAATAATAACAACAAACATCAACAACAAAAATCGAATAAGAACACAGAAAGGGGCATAAAAATTGCCGAAAAACAAACGGAAGGATAAATTACTCACTCATATGAATGCAAGAGGGGCAAGCGGACGAACGGACGGTCGGTTGGGGTAAACATAAATATTATGTGTCGAAAGAGAGAGAGAGAGAGAGAGAAGAAACCATAATTTACGAGAGTTCTCAGCCAGAGTGCAAAAGAGACACCAAAATTTGATGAATAGCTGTCAGCCTGACTGCCAACATGAGGCATGGCTCAGTCTGGGCAGTAGTTCAACTGAAAAACAGGTATGCTCAACAGGATAGCTCTGATGGTTTTGAAAGATAATTATAGGCTACCTAAAAATTACGAGAGATGATGAATTATCTGCTTCTCTGTTGAAGTATCTACCGAGTTCGTGACAGAGATGGGTTTAGAATAAGGGGTACCAAAGCGTACTTTACGTTACAATAATTTTTTTTTTTGAAGACAGGAATATGATGTCGAATTTTGAGAATCTTTATGTGGAGATTTTCGGGAAAAAATTCTGAAAAACTTTAAGACACACAATCGGAAATTTTCAGAAAATGTTCAATGACTTTCTATGAATTTTTCCTTAAGACCAGAATGTGTATTTTTATACCCTCCACCATACATTGTATGAATTCGTCTCTTGCCTGCAGGCAGAACAAGTTTGAAGATAGGCTATATCGGTCCACGATATCGGCATATCCCCCATATAACAGTAGCCCCCAATATTCGATATTTTGATGATTCACAAAAGAAGTTCCTTCTGAGTACCTTACCCCCTAGAAGAGTGTTGTCTATACAGGTCCACGATATCGTATATATAACGGTACCTCCCTCCCTATAATTGGTATTTTAATGATTTTAGCTACAGCTTTTTCAATGGAATTGTCTAAAATCCATACAAGAAGTTATTTCTATGATCTTTACCTCCTGGAAGAGAAATGTCTACATAGGTCCACGATATCGTATAGCACACATACAACGGTACCTCCCGATATTCGATAATATAACCATTTCCTGG